TTTCGGAGTTGAGCAGCTCATCTCAACCTCATACCTAACAGACCGCACTGCATGCTGAGAGGAGTAATGACGCCTAAGATTGTATTCCTTGAGAATAGCATCTCCATTAAGAGATCAGAAACATCACGCTTGCTTTGATGTAATGGTCAGAAGTTATTTAAACATAAAAGGACTAAAATACACAGCAATCAAATTGCACATGATATTTGTAAATCATTTTATTTCAGACAGCAAAATAAAATGGCTAGAGTAGCTGCAGGGTTGTGAAAAAAAAATAGGCTGGCAGTCAATTTAACCAAAAAAGACTACAGCTGCATATTTTCATATGTTTTTATTATATAAAATATAAAATGAAAATATATCAAATTAACATTAAATAGAAGTGAAACTTACTCAATAATACAAACTCTCCAAATGTACTCACTCCAAACCTGTATACTAGTGAAGCACTGGAAGCACACGACATATGGGGAAGTCGTGGCCTAATGGTTAGAGAGTTGGACTCATAATTCAAAGGTTGTGGGTTCGAGTCTCGTACCGGCAGGGAGTACAGCGCTCTCTCCCACCTTCAATACCATGACTGAGGTGCCCTTGAGCAAGGCACTGAACCCCCATATGCTCCCCAGGTGCCGCAGCATAAATGGCTGCCCACTGCTCCGGCGGGGAAGTCGTGGCCTAATGGTTAGAGAGTTGGACTCATAATTCAAAGGTTGTGGGTTCGAGTCTCGTACCGGCAGGGAGTACAGCGCTCTCTCCCACCTTCAATACCACGACTGAGGTGCATTCTGAGTATGGGTCACCATACTTGGTCACGTCGCTTAGTTTTTTTTTTTACTGAAACCAAAATTAAAACGTTTTCATTTAGCTTTTAACTCTGTATGCTGTTTAGAGTTTTGTGTTTTTAAACCAGTCATGGTAAAGTTCTTTGGCAATCATATCCAAGCTAAGAGGGAACATTCTCAGAACTTCGGCTGATGTTCTGACATTATTCCAGTAACATTAATAGAACGAATAATGTTCTCAAAACGTTAGCACAAAATAATTATATACCATTCATGGAATGTTTTTTCTGAATTATTTTAGTTATATGTTCTTGTAACTTTTTTAACACAGGGTTCCCACTCTTTTATGAACACCAGATTCAAGGACTTTTTCAAGCACCATTTATTTTATATCAAGCACCTATCAAATTCACACCCCAGCATATGTAGTGTCATGAAAGACCTTACATTTCATTTACACTTAACATTTACATTAAACATTTCAGAGTAATAATGTTTTGAATGATGTGTAGGTTTCATAAATTTAGACCGTTTTGAGCAGTCGCGTTCAACGGAATTTAATGAAATCCATTGAAGTCAGTACTGGTAATATTAAAATTACATTTCTGAAATATTGATAAAATATGCATCAAACTGATTTTTGCTGTAGTTCTTGTACAAGATTTAAATTTGAAAGAATTTCTAAATTTTTAAATTAATAAAAAGTGGTTAAATGTTGTAATAACATGGTAAAAGCTGATAACATTACAAATTTGCACATTCACTCAAAAGATACGTTACTCATTACTAAATAAGCTCAAGTCAAAATAATTTTGTAAATTACTTTATTGTAAATCCCATTTTTTCATCTTTGACCTAGAGGAATGCAGCTGCTCAAACATGCAGCTGCTCAAAGTCAGTATTTTTTTTTTATATTTCATGAACATTTTAAACCTTGTACATGTGCAAATCTGCAAAAAAATATTAAGAAATTACATTTTAAGAATAGGACTTTCTATTTTCTTTTAAACTGTAAATGCTTTTCACTAAGCTGTTTTTCCATTTTTTCATGTTCTACATTTTCTCCTTAGCTCCATGTTGCGGTAAGTTTTGGGAGTTAATTTTTAGTCCATCTCCTATCCTGAGAAGTGTGTCTTGCAGAGACTGACAAAAATGAGCTCCTAAAACTTACTGCCAGATTCTGGAAGATCAATTCTTCAAACAGTGGTACAAGAGGATGTGGTGCTGGTCCTTCAAGAGTCACTCTAAACTTATTTGTCCATAAAGTCTATAAAAATAGTCTTCATGTATTTCACAACACTTCAGCATGTTATTCTAATTAAGTGAGGGTCATTTTTTAGGATTTTTTACCCAAGCAAAGTCTCTGAGAACCTGACACCTTGTACTTCTGCAAACTCCAGGTAGGTTGCAGTTCTGGAAAATAGTGGCGCTGGAGACTAAATGCTTCCTGATGGTTCAAACCTAATTCTTCACATTAATTCTTAATTATTTTGCAGTTAACATTTGTCTTTTCTTCTTCGCCTGTTTTTTTCTGACCCCACTGTCCCAGTGAGCATTTTGCTGACCAATGGTCATGCCTTAACTTTGACATTTCTATATTGCATTCGTTTTTAATATTTCTCATGGGGATTTAATCATTTTTGACTTCTCAGTCGGAGTTTTCATCCGTAAAAAAAACCTGCCTAATAATTCTGCACACCTTAATAAAAGTTTTTCATATCTAGCCTTCATGGACAATTATATACAGTATCACTTCTAAAT